AATACATCGATACCGGGCCACAGCCAAGCAGCCTCAGGTATCACACAATTTTCCTCTGACTCCAAGTGTTCATCACTTACCGGATTATTCTTGTCGTTCGTATGAGGCTTCCTTTCTGCAATTGTGCCAATTTCCTTTATCCATGTCGCCATTCTGCCAATCATGTGCACCAATGACAACTGGTTGAGACCTTCGTCAGTTTTCAAAGCCTCGCGACTTCAAGCTTCTATAGATCATAATTAATTCATTTCTCTTCTTCCTTTTGATCTATATTTGCATCAAAAGGACACGATGGATCGTGTCTTCCTTTTTTCTATTTTATCTTCCATTAATATGTCCGGTTTGTTGTGATCCAGCTTCTCATTTGATTTTATTGAAAAATCCTTCCAAATCTTGTATGCTTCTGATTCAGTGACTTTCTTAACTATATGGCTATACCATTCTTCTTCACGCTGCAAGCCTCACTTCTTGCACACTTTCCAATGAATGACTTTGCTAACTTTATTATTTTCGCCAACTTTCAGATTCTTTCTGTGCTAAACTTGTGCACTCACACATAATGTGTGTTCCAGTTTCATCAAATTCTTTAAATCTTCTGCAAAATGGTGATATCTCTTCTTTGCAGACATGCTTCCTGGTATTATTTTTCTTCCTGATATTTCTATTACAATGCTTTCAATTTTCCCCTCCAAAAATCCCGTTTTCAATCAATTCAATGTTGCTTTGCATCCCCTTATTTCTGTTGTTTTCCCAAAATGTTCATGCAACATTTTTCTTTTCTCTTGCTACCTTATTGAACTCAATTGTAGCTACTTCATTTATTCTCCTTTTTAAAATTACTCTTATTATAGCAACTTCATATCTTTGTATTATGAACTGATCGATGTACAGTTATCTTTAAGGGTTTTTTAAGCTGTTGTTTTTTTTTCATGCTTATTGCAAAATGAAGATGAGAATATTTGCTTTCGTCTTTGCTTGCTTTTTATTTTATTTTTGTTTTTTTTAACAAAAATTATTTAATATTATCTTAAATCTTTATTTTTCAATTTTTAATATTCACTCTTTCATTATCTTTCTATAGATTTAATACAATAAATATCCTATAATTCTGTTTGACCCTACCTTAGTTAGCACGACCGTTACGCTCTGCCAATACCTCATAAATAAGGGACTATTCCGTTTTGATCCCGTAGAAAGACCGTAAAGACGTATCAGGGATGCTACTTGCTTTCGGTGAAAGAAAGAAAGAAAGAAAGAAAGAAAGAAAGAAAGAAAGAAAGAAAAGAAAAGAAAAAAGAAAGAAAGAAAGAAAAGAAAGAAAAGAATGAAAGAAAGAATGAAAGAAAGAAAGAAAAGAAAAGAATGAAAGAAAGAAAGGAAGAAAGAAGAGAGGCCATAGCACTCTCATATGTTTAATGTGTGTTTCAGTGAAATGAAAAAATGTTGTCAGTTTCATTTTTACCTCTTTCCTTCTTTAAATAATTATTTAAATAATGATCTACATTCACATTTATAATTGTTATTGCAATATTCTCTTAAAGTTGTTAAGTTCAAATATTTAACGAAACGATAGGGGAATTTCTCTGGATATTTTATTGCCGCAGAACTCGCCATTATCTTATTCAATCATTAACTTAAGAATTAAGATTCATCAGAAAATGTAACTAGGAAATCCGTGAAATTTTCACAGACATTTCTAGTGTAAACAGCCATCTTTCATTTATGCAGCAAATATATTATCCAATGATTGGAATTAAAATTATCAAAAAATATAATTCCTAATCAAATCTCGTTTATTTTTTTACACACTTTTTTTTTTTTTTTTTTTTTTTTTTGCAAATTGTTAAAATTTTTCTTTCAGAAAAAATATCTCTGAAAAAAAAATCAGGTGCATACTAAAAATAAAACAGCCAACCCGACTCGATTCTGGGTTGTTGCCACGTTGGTCAGTACTGCCACCGATCAACTGATGGTTATCTGCTTTCCGCTTTGTTCCTTCATCTACTTCTGTCCGGCGTTGTGTTCCTTGGTCACAGAGCAGTGAAGTTCGAATTTCATCCGTACGTGAGCGCTGGATCTGACCGTGAAGGAATCGTGTGACAAAAGGATTTGCTTCCGCTGACGAAAATAAGAATAACATGACAAAATAACGAAGAAGTTTGCTGGGTTAATTTTCAGTTGGTTTATACATTTTTTTGATACAACAAAATTAACCTTTTCCGTTAAGCTTTCTATCATGACACTTTCTCTTCTTTCTTTTTTTTTTCTTTTTTTTTCTAAAACTTGGAGAGGGTTCAATCAACCCCGTATAAGAATTGGAGAATTGGAATGATTAAAAACGTTAATGTAAAAACATGAATTGAAATATGAAGCGAGAAAAAGAAAATCTTCATGTGGACCCCTGTTCATTCTGACGGTCTCCGATTTAGGATGTACTCAGGTATCTATATGTGAATCCAAAGTCGCCTTGGCTGTCTCATCCTTCCAAAAACAAACTTTTTGAAACTCGGCCATAACCTTGCCCGCTCATGAGCAGACCTGCAATGTGCTTACTCCAGCTCAAGATGCACTGTGAGTCAACCCCCAAAAGACACACATAACCCTTTAAGTATTTGCCATATAAAAGTAACCAATACAGACAATACTTTATGCAGCGACTACTTTGCAGTAAGGAACAGGGTGAAAGCGAGTATGAGAACTTTCCAATCCAAGGCTTTTTCGACCAAGCCAAAATTCTCATTGAAGATGTAACGGAATAACATAATTTTATGGTTAATTCAGCTTAATACATTGTTTTTTATTTTACTTGCCTAACAATTTCCAATTTGTTCAGGTAGCTCTTCAAAATCTATAACACCGTCCAAGAGATGACATCTCTCATATACGGGGATGAGAGAAAGACAAGCTGACAGGCGCGAAATGTCTCTCATGTGTCACCTGAAAATTTTCTCGGCAGTAACCTTTCATTATCTCAAAGTTGGCCGAGTTTTCTTCGGCCATGATGAACAGTTGTACTCTAAATAAAGCTCATTGTCTGAAACGTCTATTCACTCCAGAACTGAAGTGGAACGCGAATATACAATCTATTACTAAAGATTATGAAAAAATGGTCAGTTCCTTGTACTGCTCCAGAAAGTACCTAACTCCCTCTGCCATGCTCTGTCTTTGCAAGAACAAGGTCTGACAGAAAATTGAGTATTGTTGTCATAATTATTTGTTATATACCGTACCTATGAACACTAATGGGTATGTCCTAATCCTCATAAATACGTTGGACACTATTATAAGTGGGGGTAATATGCTGTCTATTTCGCACGCTTTCTACCACTGTCGCCGGGTCAGCCCCTCGTGCTCATTGATCGCGCATACGCATGTGACAATGTGTCGCCCCCGTAATCCGGAGTGAAACGAATGGTGTTTCTCACGCTGCTGGTCACGGCTCGAATGGTGATTTGGACGACGCGACAAGAGGAAGTCTTGCGAGGCAATCGTCTTTCTCATCAGGATTTAATCCGATTCTTTGAGCATCAGCTCAAGATGAAAATTAGAACTGATAGAAAACGCTTGCATTCGACAGTCTCCAGCGAAAGGTGGATGACTGAGGCGAGCTTGGTTCGTTTGAACGGAGCTAGCCTTGGTTTTCTCTTTTAGTTCAGCCTACGTCACATCGGGGTGGTTCCCTGTGGAACCCTGCCCTTGGTTAGTTTAGACAAGCTTTTGTGTACCTAGTTAATGTGAGTAAGTGTTGTTCCTTGCCTGCTCCCGGCTGCCTCTTTGGTTATGATCCATGTCGAGATTCCTAACCTCCCCAGTTTGTTTTTGGCCCCCTTTTCATCTCGACTGGGTCAGCTTTTATATTTCCCATGTCCGTCAATATATTCTCCTTTCCCACTCCCTTAGCGAGAGAGCTTCTTGATTCCAAATGGCAGAATACTGCGGCCTCTCCTTTTTGAAGGTCGGATGGGCTCTATTAACATCAGTTATGTTTAGTTTACTTTGTGTTAATGTTTAGTTTGTTATTGGGTTCATCTCCCCCCACTCTGTATTTTATTCATCCATAAATTTTTAAGCACGAATTAAATCATTAGATTTTTATGGCATGGGGCGCGTTTTGTAGGTTTCCTTTGAGAGGATGTGGTATTATGGTGTATGGAGGATTGATTGGTGACGGACGAGTTTTTGTGGTGAACGGGCAAATAGTAATGAGTGAATGGGTCGTGAATCAGATTAGCTAGGTATAAGATAGTTACTGTGGACCAGACTCAACCCCTTTCCTTTTGGGCCTTGTGCCGTAATTGTGTATTTGACACAATAAATACCAATATGCTGTCTAAGTAGTACACCACTAGCAGTGGTTTACCTACGTCACACCACTGGCGAGTATTGTATTTTATCGATGTTATAAAGATCACCATTTCCAACCTCCGTTTTGGTTATTCCTCATTCAGTAACCTTTTCTAGGTTACAACACTATTTCTGCCTAATCCTTACTTTCCAGCCATGACAGAATTCAAAACCTTTTACGGTGCCTAATAGGTGATAATATCTTCCACCCTACAACGCCTTTCCTGTTTCTAGCTTCTCGCTACACTGTTTTCATGGAAGATATCCAGATAAGCTACAGTCCACCAGTTCAGACCTTCACAGCTAGGAACGGCTATTCCACGTACAAAGTGTTGACTTATCCTCATTCTCTTCATATTCCATTGATAAGGAGGAAATTTCATTCGTCATCTTCTTCCCGAGAACCGCTACTTTGTGAAACAGTGTCCCAAGTCGGTGTTTCTCCGGTCAGTACAAACTTAACCTTTTCAAGTCAAAGGTCAACCGTTATCTATCCTACATATCCTGATAACATACACCTTACTCCTTCTTTGTACACTATTACATCATCATTCAGTAACGCTTCACATTGAAGGACGTGGCTTATGCGTTAGAAAATATGTTTTTGAATGATTTTGTTTCATTCATTTATTTATTCTTTCTTTTCTTTTTTTCAGTTATTTGTTAATCTTGGACCGCCGAGTTTCTTGGTGTTTTGCTTTATCATCGTAATTCTGTCTCTGCTGCTTTTCATCTGCCTTTTCCTGACGGGAAGAGAAACAGAAAAATACTCAAGTAAGTCAGAAGCAAGCAAAAGAAACAACTCTTTTTTTTCTTTTCTCTTTTTTTTTCTCTTTTTTTTTTCTCTTTTTTTTTTCGGTGGGGGATGAATTTTCTTTTAATTTTTTTTTTTTTAAGCGTTTCACCCCAAGCAAGGCGGGAAGCCACTAGGACGCAAGGGTTACAGAAAATTTACAAGCAAGATCAGATAGGAGTGATAGAAGAAAAGATGAGGAGAAGGATAGTGGATAGATCAAGGCAACTGGAGATGTCGATTGACATTACACTTGAATAGCTGGAGATTATAGCTCTCAGGGAAACTGGAATAGGGAAGGGAGTTCCACAGGCGAGAGATGCGAGACATGAAGCTATTGGAGTAGAAGAGACGGCTACATTTAGGAGTTTCGACAGTGAAGGGGTGAGAGCGGGATGCCAGCGTCGTAGGGCGCTTGAATTCATGAAGTCTGGGAACCAGCGAATGCAGCTCCCCGGAGCAATTGCCATGAAAGTATTTGTAGAACAGACAGAGAGAGGTAACCGCGGGTCTGTGAGAAAGTGACTGTAGAGGAGATGCCAGAACAGGGCCAATTATATTGCATATCCGCCTCTGGATTCTATCAAGAACCCCGAGGCAAACAGAAAGTGTTCCAGACCATATATGACAGCAATACTCCATGCAAGGACGAATTGTTGATTTGTAGATCAAAGTTTTCTTATTATAGAATATTTATTATTGTGATTTTATGACTTATTATTACGATACGTAAATGCCGGTCTTCTTTGTGTTAAGTTTTAAACGTTCTAGTCCTAATCAGTGACCCAGTCCCTCGAACATTTTTCTTTTCACCATAAGTATCAAATTTATACTTCTCTTTAATACTGGAGACATAAAGACACCACACTTTCTTCATGAAGTCCTAAGTAGTCTCCTAATTTTTGTGTGGTGGGAGGGTGACAAAAATTTAGCCCTGAACTCTTCAGCCATTGATGCGTTTTGTGTTTATCTATATTTGTATCGTTACTTCTGAGTGCATATTTTTTTTATCATTTTCGGATAAACAGTATGGCTTTTCTTTCTCCAGATCTACTGCCGATCTCTCAGCAATTATTACTGAATTTGTTTATCAGGCTTTATATAAGAACAGTAAGGTTCGAGTTGTGGTTTTAAATATCTCGAACGTGTTCGACGGGGTTTGACATACTGGGCTTCTCCACACGCCCAAGGGCTATGGTGTCTCTGGTCGAATATTTATTTTAAATCCAATCGTTCTTAACTTGAATCTTGTACTTTTATTGTCCTTTCTCCTCAAGAAAGCTTTCTCTTTCTCATTTACTCCCCGTAACCACTTGCGTCTTAGTGGAATTATCACCTTGCATGAGATGAAATGATTAAAATAATCACCCCAAGCAAGGCGATAATGCCACTAAGACGCAATGGCTTACTGGGGGAAAGAGTGACGAGAACAGACAATAAAAGAACAGGTTTTAAGAAGAAATAAGATGGCAATTGACGTTGCATTTAAATTTTTGAAGATTGCAGGTCACAGGGAAGAAAGAAACCGGAAGTGAATAGAACTCACCGTTGCATCTTGCTATTTTAACAGTAAAACGATGAGAGGTGGTTACCAATGTAGTACCATGTTTAAATTCATGTGGTCGAGGTACCAAGGAAGAGAAGTCTTTAGAACAATTGCCATGAAAATATTTATAGAAAAAGAGGGAATCTACATCACGACAATAGTAAAATGACTGAAGACGAGATATTAGGATCGATAACATTACAGACCTCTTTTTTTTATTTTGCCGAGAATCTCGAAATATATAGTCTGAGAACCAGACTATATATGAATGCAATATTCAATGCACAGACGAATGATAGATAACAAGAAAAAAAAAACTGCTTCATACAACACAGTGAATGTTCTTTCCTAGTAGTAGACCTAACGATTGGTTCAATGTAATCACTCCACTTCATGTCAGTGAAAAACATGAGCCCAAGAAAGAACAAAGAATTGCTCTCCTGAAGGTAGCATTAGCCATGCTGACGTAAGATAGGAAAGGTTCTCTCTTGTGATTAAATTATAGCTGTTTTATTTTGGAGGCATTATAATTTACAGGCTCTAATTAACCATTGATTGGAAGTAATTTTCAAGAGCAACTGCCACATTTACTTTGTGCGCAAGTGTTTTCTTTTTAATTAACCCTTGTGTCTTAACATCCTTTCAAAGAATTTTAGCTTCAGTTAATGGTAGTGTATTTTTATTTATTTCCTTGACAATGATGTTGTGTTCATTTAGGAATTTATTCTTCTTTTATAAATAGACTAGCAGCATGGCCCGGCGTTACCCGTGCTTGATTCAAAAATCGTACGACTCATACAGCAATAGCTATCACTTGACTTAAAATATTTTTGTCTTTCCTTGCCTTTAAAGGAGTGCCCTTTGCCGTGCTGATATTGCTACATGCCTTACTTCTTGCCTATCTCACACTGCAAATTTTTCTAAGCTCTATACTAAACATTAAATCTGTTACGAATAAAGAACTAAACAAAATGAACACAAAACGATCAGCTTTAAAAAAGGACTCGTAACTGGAAAAACTGAATGAAAAAAGAATGTTAACAACAAATATTTTTTCACACCCAACCCAGTTCTGCGGAATCAGAATCAACGTTGAGTTTAAGCAAGCGAATGAGCCAATTGGAGTAAAGTGCCATGCAGATTTAAATTTTTCCCACTTATGACGAAGGCAGCTATCGATTTTTTTTTTTTGCATGCTAGTTAACATTCGTGTCAGTCAGTTGTTGGCTCTCACGCTGGCCAATAGAATCTTCCTGCCTATTCGTGGCAGCCAGCTATCGGCTCTCACTCTGGCCAGTACAAAATGGGCGCAAACTACATGAAAACTGCCGTAGAAGCATGAAAAAATCGATTGTTTCCACTATCGATGGGAGTTGGGAAATGCAAAGTCGGTCTTGGCCTTCCCGCTAACTTGGAGCATGTTCATGTAAATTTTGGTGCAAATCCGTCGAAAATTGCGGCCGTGCATTCGTTACACACACACACACACTCACATCCTGCCTTTTATAGATAGAGATTTCTTAATTCTTTTTTTATATTTCTCATGACAAGTAATTAGTGGTAGCATCCAGTGAAATGTGGACCAGTTTTGGTTGCCTTATAGATTAACACACCTTAAAATTTACTAAGCATATATTAGATGTAGCACAAGGCCGTGATTATTGAGCACCCAATGAGGGTCGAACTCACTACACAGTCGTAATTAATTTAGCAAAACTAGTTTGTTAAACATTACACCAAGACGAAGTACTCAACTATAGCTAAATTAAACATTTACTGCCATTACCTCTGGCAATATGAATATGACCAACATCGTTATTTATGTTGCTACTGCGATCACGTCAACCATTATCCTATGGCGAATCTCTTTCCATTTCCAATAACGAGCTTATTTTTACATTTTAAATTCTTAAAAGGATTGAAATCATGATATCGCAATAGAGTTTCCACTTCTAGGTGAGTAACAGTTATTAAGATGCTAGTGAGTTGGATTCTCATTGGGTGCTCTCTACTCATGTCCTTATGCCAAACAAAACTTAGTATATAACTGAATTACAAATCCATTGAAGAAAAAAAGTAACAAATTTTCAAATTTTTCTTTTCGATTCACTAGAGCAGGTCTTTTTTCCTCAAAGCTTGGTCCAATTGCTGACAGTATATTTGAGCATTAATTGTTGCATTAGGTGGTAAGAATTCAAAGTGGATTATTCCTTGGCCTCCCACCAGATTGAAAGAAGAACCTTTTGCCCATGAAGTTTCCTTCTCGGCTATGGTTCGGGTCCTTCCCCTATACTAAGCCACTGTCTACGACGCTTAACATTTCGATAAAAGATCCATTTTTCGTCACCAGTCACAAGTCTATCCAAAAAAGGTGAAACAAGTTGGCGAGAATGGAGAGAAGAGCAGATGTCAACTCGGGATTTGAGGTTGTTTTCAGACAATTCATGAGGCAACCATTTTCCAAGTTTAGGAACTGTTCCAAGTTGTTGAAGATGATGAACAGTTGTATGGTTTGAACTGAGAACCACTGCCAATTCCTCAACTGATAAAGCAGGATTTTCTTCAAGGGCTGCTTCAAGAAGCTTTTCATCAAACTCAACTGGATGTCCGGTTCGATCTTTATCTTCAAGGGTGAAATCTCCACCTCTGAATTTTGCAAACCATCTTCTGCAAGTTTTTTCATTCACACAGTCCTCTCCATAAACTGAGTGAATGTTTCTAGCCGCTTCGGCTGCTGAGTTTCCTTTCTTGAACTCATAAAGCATTATGTGCCTCAAATGATTCTTGGGTACTTCCATGTTAGCAGGGTTTTAATCAAACAAAATTTAATTTTATTGTTCTCTGAAATAAAATTTGATCAGTTTAAATGCATCTAAACATAAAAAATAATGTTCAGCTCCATTAGACATTATAAAATACTCTTTAAATTTCGTTCATTTTAACAAAAAGTTAAAATTCGGACAGAACTTATGGGATGACCTGATGACTTAATTTCATGAAGAACTGTTTTAAGTCAATATTTTTAAAATTTCAATCGACCCTAAACGAATTGTTCGATCATTGAATGTTATTTGTATGGAAAAGATGGGAAAAACTATTACCATCACCATTACCAAATGTTGCCTGAAAAAGTAATGACCTATGTAAAATAAAACTCTTTTTTCTTTCTCTTTTCTCAGACATGAAAAAGGAGTCATTCATTTGGCTTCCTGGTGTGTGGCGACGCCGTGCAGGTCAAAGCTCTTTAATTGACAAATCGACAGTGAAATACTACTCCCGAATGCAAGAAAGCCCCAGCATCGACGGTAGCAACATGG